CTCCCCAACCTCAACCGTGGGGCCCTTCGCGCCGTGACCGTCCCCGAGCCCCACCCCTGGGCGGGGGCAGCCTCCCAGGGAGACCGGCCACGCACTGTCTAGAAGCCGCCCGTCCCACCTGCTCTGCATAGCCAGCAAGCAGCCCCCATGCCTGCACACAGCCCGTCCGACGACACAGCGAGCCACAAGCAGGACCCCGGCCCCGCAGGAGACCCGGCCCCGCCACTGCCCCCCCCCCAAGTGAGCGACACACACAGCCTCCAGCCTCCCTCCGTTTCCTCCTACGGCCCCAGGAGGGGCCTCCTCCACACGCCCCCTCAACGCTGCCACTCGGGGAGTGGGAGGAGACTGGGGGGACAGACGAGGATGAGCATACAGCAAGCGCTCAATAAATGCAACATAGTCCAGACATACAGAAGACCTTCAGCTTCTCCTCTTTTGCCCCAAGCCCCACCACTCCCTACTGCCGCTCATACTTCGGCTTGTCTGTGATCCCCAGCTGGTGGAGATTTTGCCTGTCTAGAAAGTTCTCGAATGTTCTTTGATCTTTAAGGGCCACAAAGGAGTTACGGACTCACACGGCTCCCCACCCGAGCCTCGGTTTTCTGCCTCTTCTACAAGGGCAAGTGGGCCTACCCGTGGCTACAGAAAACAAGGCAGGAGGACCCTGCCTGCCAGCAGCAGTAGTCACCTCCCCCCGCCCCTCCTACCGTGTTCTTCCTGGGCTGACAGGAGGGGGGCCGTTTCCCGGGGCCCCCAGAGCCTGGCCTTGCCGCCCTGCGGGGCCAGCCCTCCCTGACCCAGGAAAGGGCAGCCCAGGGTGGGGAGGGGGAGCCAGCACCCCATGAGCCAGCCTCAGGTGCCTCCCCCGCCCCAGCAGCTCCTGGTCCCCGGGAACAGGAACACCTGGGACTGCAGCCAGTCATGCCCAGCAGCACCCCGCGGCCGCCTCCTCCAGGGGTGCTCTGAGCTGACTCTCTCGGCCCAGAAGGCCAGGCCTATCGCTCCCAAGCACCCAGCGTTCAGGGCGCCCCCTGACGCGTGGGCTGCGGGCCCAACCTTGCGACCGCTGAGTTTTCCACACCAGCTGCCGGTTCTCGAGCCCGAAAGTCCACACACTCTTCCGGAAAAGCCAGACAGTAACTATCTCAGGCTTTCCAGGCCACTGGCACGCGTCACGGCTGCCATGACAACATGTCCATGCGTGGGCATGGCTGTGTTCCAATAAAACTTTATTCACACACACACACACACACACACACACACTCACACACACAACCGGAGAGGGTTTCCCAGAGCCGCGCGTGAAGGGGACCCGCCCGACGGGGCCGGCGGGGAGCAAGCACTTACTCACGACCGCCACCCGCCGCAGGGACGCCGGCCAGGCCAGGGGCGCCCGCGCGCACAGCAAGCTGGGACCCCGGGCACCAGCACCCCACGCTCACCTGGCTCTTGCCGCGGCGCCGGTAGCTCCGCCTCACCAGGCTCTTGTAGTTCTCATTCTTCTTGGTCAGGTAGTAGTAGAGGACGCACTCGGCCACCGTCTGCGGCGGACAGGGGAGGCGCTGAGGAGGGCCTGGCTGGTGGCCTGTCACCTCAGGCGGGCCCACAGCTGCGAGGCCACTTCCCGCGCGGCCATCTCTTTCCCCCGGGGAACGGCCAAGGGACAGGCGGGCCCGGAGTCGCCCTCGGACACAAGCGGCTGGTACTACCCGGACCCCCTCCCACGGCCAGGAAGCCCGAGGCCTCAGGGAGGTGGGAGGGTAGAAGCCCCAGCTCGAAGAGAGGCCACTTGGGGCACTGCGGACCACCCTGGGCCCGGGCCCACACGTGGCTCCGCCCAGCCCCCCATGACAGCCCCTCCCCCACCCGGGGCCTCCTCCAAGGCCCAGAGACCTCGTGGGCGCAAGTGGAGGGCGCCATGCTGCAGGGAGCTCCGTCCACTCCCACCCAGAGCCCTCGGGCTGGGGGCAGGGCGGGGCCGTGCGTCTGATGGAGATGGACCTGCAGGCCCCGCATCTGGCCTGGCCCGAGAGACTGAGAGGCAGACGGACGGCAGAGGGACCTGGAGAGGCCGCCGTCCAGCCCCTGCGAGCTCTCTGCTCCCGCCTACGCACCCCATGCTGGGACGCCAGTGCGTCATGCCAGAGCCTGACCCCAGCCGGCGAGGGCATGCGGGCGCCTCTGAGGAGCTGGCGGGAGAGCCAGTGGGCACTCGGGGAGGGGGAGGCCCGTCCTGGGGCATCCCTGGGTCCCAGTAACCTGGCGCTCCTTCCCCAGGACCCCGAGCCAGGAGGGGCCTGCGCTGACCTCCAGGAGGCGGAGGCGGGAGGAAGGGGGGAGAGGAGGGAGGAGGG